GAGTGTGAGTGTGAGTGTGAGTGTGAGTGTGAGTGTGAGTGTGAGTGTGAGTGTGAGTGTGAGTGTGAGTGTGAGTGTGTGTGTGAGTGTGTGTGTGTGTGTGAGTGTGTGTGTGTGTGTGTGTGTGTTGGTGTCGGTGTTGTGGCGCTTTCTCCATCCAGCTTTGTGGGAGGCAGTAGTCCTGTGAGGCAAGGTCGTGGAACTGTCGCTGGTTGGTCTCTCCTTCCTCCGCGTTGTCGACGCCAGCGCATTGAAGTCACCCACAACCAAACGGGGTGTGCGTTCCCTGTGTGTGGAGAGGCGCTGTGTGAGTTGCTGCCAAAAATCTGTCTCGAACTGGCTGTTCTCTGTGGTTGTGTGGAGCGTAGATGGCCATGATCTTCAAGGGGGCTTCCACAGTGTCAATGGTGAAGTGTAGAAATCTGCCGTCGACGCAGGTGAGGTCCGTGATGGCCGGTGCAAGTTGGGTGGCTGTGATGAGAGAGACTCCAGTGAGTGTTCGGGTGGGCTTGCCTTTGGAGTCATACTCCTCGGTAGCGCTGTGAGTGATGGTGTAGCCCTCGCTTCATGTGTGTCTCTGTAAGGGCCAGCCAACTCAGCTTATGATGGCGCATGACCTGGATCCGTGTGTGAAGCTTGGCGGCTTCTAAGAGACCCGCGGCGTTCCAAAAGGCTGCACAAGAGACTGCTGCGGCAGTGTTTGGATGTCGTGTTTGGTTCTGCCTCTGACTGTGGGCTGTGCAATGTGGGTCTTGAACCAATGTGCTCTCGTGTGTGTTCTGGTACGTGTGTCGCGTCGTTGCTGCCATTGTTGCCTGTTGCTCCGGGAAGACTGCGGGTCGGTGCGGAGGTGGTTGGGGGTGTTGCTGTTTTGCGGCGCCTTGTGCTTGAGCTTGAATGCGCGTAAAAGAAAGCTTCTGAAACGATGGCATCGGTATTGGTGGTGGCTGCGCGGGGTGGGGTTGCTGCTGCGGCTGCTTGGTGGTTGCTGCTTCTGTGGTCGTGTGTTCTGGGGCTGTAGCCGCCGATGTGAAGGAGCGGCAAGTGAGGCCGTATAAAGGCTTTGTGTGGGGCCGTCTCACGTGTCGGGAGCCCTTACCCCGAAACCACTCTGGGGTGCTGGTGTCTGAAAATGCCGAAAGCCAACCGCGGTATTCGAGTCGGCGCCGTGCTCTGTGTGTAACTCGGTGCTGGGGCACTGGTGCTGTGAGAGACTGTTGTGAGGGTGTGTGGTGTTGGCTTGTGACATGGTGTGGTGATGGTGGCGCTGGTGCGCTTCGTCGCCGAAAGGCACATTCTTTAATCCCGAAAAAGCCGACCGAAGAGCGGAACTGCGAAAAGCATATTTACAAAGGGATTGGGCTTGGGGATGGCTCAGCGCTCCCGGCTCACCTATGGGAGGTGTGCTTGCATGCGTCAAACAAATTCGCTCCCTTTCTTCCTGCTGCGCTGGCGCAGTGAGGTTCTCTGTGAGATCGTCACTGAGAAGATGCAACCTGGAAGAGCATGCTCGGCTTTCAGGTAGAAAGCGTTGGCCTTTTCGCCAGCATTGCCTTGGCCGCCTGTTACCCCAAGTTGCGGAGACGATGGTTGCGAGCCCATTCCTTCCACTCTTCATCGCGGTAGGCCGCGATGTCGTAGCCGCGGGTGATATGGCTGGCTTTGGCATCCTCCACGGCTTTGTCCCATTCGTCCTGTGAGTCGAACGGGCAGTGGCTCCTTGGCTGTTTCCTCCGTTGAGGAGAAGGTACCCTCCACTTGGTGCCATGGGCAGCGAAACCGAGCAGGTTGTCCCGGGCTTCACCTCCGCCTCCGGCGCCTTGTCCGCTGCCATCTTCTCCATGAGCTCCTCGACCGGGCGGATGTCCTGAAAGTGCTGGCGGTCGGGGTGGTCCAGTGAGAGGCCTGTGAAGGAGAGCTCCCAAAGGTACTCGAACTTAAAGACCCCCATCCAGTTGTCCACGCCTTCCTCTTCACCCTCCTTGTAGGATTTGACTGCCTTTGTGAGGAAACGGTTCAGGCGAATGGCTGCCACATATTCCTGGCTGGTCTTCTGTGAGGCTGCGGCAAAGGCCTGCCCCTCAACCTTCGTGTGCTCGATCTGCTGCTTGAGCTGGTCGTACCACACGTCCCGCCAGGCTGCAAGGATGCGGTCTTTGTGCTCGGCCGGGAGTTGGACTTCGCAGCTCCAGTCCGCGACCGTGCCGATGGTCCCTGTGAGGCTGCGCTGCTTCCTGCTGTAGAGCACCCTTCCCAGCCAAGCTCCATCCTTGTCCTCGAGGATCAGGGTCTTCCATCGAGGAACCAACGTTTCCTTCTTGAAGCGGGGAAGAGCTTCTAGGCGCCCACTAGACCATGCATGGGTGCCCCGAGCCTTCTTTCGAACTGCGTGATTCCTGACGCCATCTTCACTGATTGGTTCCAGTTCCAGGTCTTCACTTGCCACACGGCCTCCTGTGAGGAAGAGGAAGCGGCGGCCTGACCAGCGTCGTTTGCGTCCTTGGCGTCCTGGTCCATTTTGTTCTCATCGGCCGGGGTCTCGTCCTCGGCCGGCGTCTTCTCCTTCTCGGTCTTGTGCCAGTGGCGCACCACCGCTCGGGAATATGCATCCATCATCTTCTTGCGGGCGGTGTATGTTGGCACTGTGAGGATCGAGATCGGGGCCAAGAACACCCCACTGTTTCCTTCCATCCTGGTCGTTGTGAGGTCCCAGTCCAAGTGTCCAAGACTATTGTCTTGGCGGGCACGAGAGACTGTGAGCTCCCGGTCCTCTATGGTAGCCCAGTCCAAAAAGTTACGGACCACCAGGGTTCTCTTCGCCGCCTCGATCTGTGAGTACATGAGGTCCTTCTCAGTCCACGCCGTGCGGATCTCAAGCATCTTGTGAGCTCCGAGCCAACATGCGAAAATGTTGCTTGAAGGGCTGGGCCGACTTTATGCTGCAGCGCTTCCGTGATCATGGCTGCACACTCTGCACGGGATATGGGCTGTGAGTAGCTAGCATCCATGGGAACACTCACATCCCAGTCCTGTGGGCGGGCCACCGGTGCCGCCGTGGGCAACACTGAAGGCCCATCCCCTTTGAGTTGAGCGATGCTCTGCTGCATCTGCTCCAGCTGACGAGCGGTGTCTTCATTCTTGGACACCTGCTCTGAGTGTTGGACGCGTAGGGCCTCTTGTCCAGCAGCTAGTGCGGCAAGCTGCGAGGACATGGTATTGATGACCTGTGAGGAATCCATGGCTCCTGTGAGAGCTAGAGAAGAAAAGGGGGGGCGAAATGCTTGAGCACTCGTGAGCCTGCAGAGAAGAAGTACTTGGACGAAATTGGGACATTAGGATTTTCCAACTTTTGTTCAGGGCACTGCGCAGCAAGCCAGTGCAGCAGCAAAGCCCCAAGTCGAGGGAGTCACAACATCATCGTTAGCCTGGCTGCAGCAGTCCGATGATTACACGAATCTGAAGTGCAGTTTGTCTAGAACTGAGGCAGACAGCCACAGCACTGCCAGGCAGCTTCTTCGGGACTCCAAAATGCCAGCATTGGCATGGCTAGAATCATCAGCAGTTGTAGCACAAGTGCCATAACATATGCAGGCTTGAAGGGAATCTTCTGGCCAACTTTCACCATAGTGGTTGTCCCCACTACGTTCATTGCCTGTCAGCTCTGTACATCATATCGCAGTCATGAGATATCGAACGGCCACAGGATTGCAATGCCGGCCACGTGCCTGATACGTCATGGACGCGACGAAGGCCCACTGGTGGCCCGGAAACCAGAGCTCAAAGAAGCCAACGGCTGTGAGGTAGAAGTTCCATGCCGCCAGGGTCAGAATGCCCAAAATCTAGGTGAGGCGGGAGTGGCTCAACCAAGCAAATCACAGCTCGATTAAAGCTGTTTGCGTCTCAAGAGTGATGAACTAGTCAGTCGGGCGACCACGAACAAAGGAACTGAGCCCAGAATTGGGGGTCCAAACGACCCCCTCAATTCGTCAACCTTGGTTACATGCAGCAAGCACTGTTTCCGTTGACACTGCCACCGATCTTATTCATCACTATCCAAAGCGGAATAGTTAAACAGGAAACCCAGACTAGTTCACAGCAGCCTGTATGACTTATCGAAGTACAGTTGATACACTGTCCTTCAACATGGTACATCACACGCCATTGACTAATCGTGTGCTCGTCGTACAAATTAAACGAAATATAACGTTTATCTGTGGAAGGTACAGGTGTTTGGCCGCCAATATTTGCTGGTATACACACGCGAAAGAATAAATATCCAGAGGTATGTATGCAACATAGGTAAACGGTATATGGCAAGTACACTCAAAAACAGATGCCTCGAATAGATGCATGCAATCATACATACACGCATATGCATACGCTACACAAACATGATCTTGCGACTCTAAGTGCACGCCACCTGCTCGTGTATGCCGGCGTACATCCATGCACGCTTGTATGTAGGAACCCATGCGCGCACGTATGCAAGGATGTATTATACTTCAAGTTCATCTCTGCTTGTGCGATTGATGTGTGCAAATCTGTCCAAAAGGATGAATCAGAGAGAATAGGTCTGCATGAGGCCACCGAAAAAGGGCACCGGCACAGGCATAAAGCAAGTGTATCGTACCTGCAAGCCGGCTTTGAGCGTGCCGTGCACAGAGCCATGTGGGCGTGCATGCATGCATGGAGAAATGCACACTTGCACATGTATGTACAACTATGCATGATAAGAAATGCAAAGAGGGGAGCAGCATCAGAGACCTGACCAGCACGTGCATTATCTTGTTTTGGCATGTGCATGCCCGCTCGAGTACTCAAGAATCCGTCAACGCCTCAAGCTGTATGCCTCTCGGCTGCTCACTCCCTCCATCCCTTTTGGTGGAGCGTCCCTTTCGTCTTTCTTCAAGCATCCTGTTACAGCCCAAAACGTTGGGAAGGTGGGAAGGCTGATGGGGCGCCCCCAGCTCAAAGTCTCCCAGCAGGGCCAATCAATATTCTAGTTCCACGACCGAGATTGGCCGCCTGTACGCATTGTGCTTTGGCGCGAAACCACAGCGGGAGCGCTCTTGCCAGAAAATCCTAGCTGCAGATTGGGGACACAAGAAGTTGAAGTGAACCCAAGCCCTCACTGCATTTTCTCAAATCACAGGGGACATCTCTGAACAAAATGCAGCAATCGTACTACCTCGGTGCCGTGGTCCGGCCACTCGCTCTGTATCTCTGTTCCTTTCTTGGTGTCTGGAGCATTTTGCAGAAGTCCCGAACTTGGACTGCCAAATAGATTCGACATGATCCTTTGAGGCAGCTACGAGCCAGTAATGCCAGCAGTGTTAACTTCAGAAACTGTCTCTTTCGCCTGATGTGCCCTCCTGCACCACGCCGTGACAAAGCTCGGACGATGTGCAGAAGGTGTGCTAGCATGTGCAGTTCTGCTTGGTGTGCTGATACAGTACTCCAGCAACGCAAAAACCACACGGGCCGCACATCCCGCCACAGGTGCGTGTACCCAGAACCCTCCCACCGAGGTGTTCTTATGGAGCCCTTTCACATCGTATGCGAGTATACCTAAAATCTTGGACTGCCAATGGCAAGTAAGTGCAGGCAAACTGCGCCGCCTGCAGCCATGGCTACTGCGTTGGTTGAAGCCGTGATGCTGCGCCATTAAACCAGACAGACAAGGTGCAAGCCGGTCATGCACAGACAAATGGCAACGACATAGCTCGCAAGACTGTACGGCACCAGGGACATGGCCAAAATGGGCCTCACCGCAGCTCAACCAACACTGCCTGGGAAAGCTCATGCCACCGATGCTTATCCGCATGTCCTTCCTCCATTTGTTTGCATGCACGAAAGACTTGAGGGGGCTTGTCCGCAGATCAGCTATCCAAGAACTTGGGTCTTACTTTAATGCATGCACGTAGGGTTCTATGTAGTGATCGGAGTATGGCCTTTGCCAGGGTCTTTGCTAAGTAAACCATGTCCTTTTGAGGCTTTTTGCAACATCGGCCCGGCAGTAGCTCATGTCACGTAAGCCTCAAATGACGTCTGGCTAGTCTCAACACTCAACTACACCTATAAAATTATTGGTTCCTCCAGCCCTAAACCCTAAACCCCTAAACCCTAAACACCACGTTCGAATCCTTAGACTTTCGTCCAAATCAGGCATGTAATTCATGATCCTACCAGGTATACGGTGCATCTGCAAGCTCCTATCCCAAAGGGCCGTGGGTACTGTTATGGGGATACCTTCCCGCGGAACCGGCCTGCCCAAATCATCATAATGATTCCTAAATCAGAAATCTTCCATGCTACTACAAAAGGTAGGTTGGACCCTTTGGGCAAACAAGGCCTTGTACAATACGCAATCGGCAAGACTGGAATGCTTTCGAAAAAGCGCCCAGGCCCCGGCCGAAGCGGTCAAAGGTTCCCACAAAAATTCCCTGTTTCCCCACCACTTGAGAAAGCGCAGTCGCGCAGTCGGGGAGTCGCAAGAAGCTCAGCTGCGCGCTGCTGCGTTCCATTGAGGACGCTCGGTCAGCCAGCGCGGGCTTCGGATTGCCGGGTCCTCCTTTGGAGGCCCAGTTAAGTCGAGCCTAGCCTGGCTGTTTTCCTTTGCAGTTTGTTGGTCGTGCACAGCTGAGGACTGCAGACTGCCTGCTGGGCCCTTAGCTGCCTGAGGCCTTTCATAGCATGGCCATGTTTTGGGCCTCACAGCCAGGCAATGCTCTCTGCCATCGAAAGCAAAAATGTGTGCAACAAGTGCTGCATAGTGCTGCAGTGACTGCACACAACGCAAGGGCTTTCTCTCTACCCGCAGTCATCCCAGCCGCTTGACAGCCAGCGTCGGCTTTTGAACCTCAGGTTCCGGAGTCACCGCTGCACAGCTGCAACGTCGCTTTCCGATAACCTGGAGACTCAATGGTCCCCGACCTTTGCGCCGCCTGTTCCTTCAGCCTCCAGCTGTCAGCTTTGCATCTGGCCACTGCACAGAGCACAATAAGGAGCTTAGGACTCAGCCTCCCCTGCCCTGTCACAGAGGCCGACCAACAGTGCCGAGGGGTTGGAGAGGCCCTGCCAGGGAGAAAGGCTTCGACCCAGAATCAAAAGCTGCAGAGTCCCCTCCTCGGTAGGTCTGGTGATGGTAAAGGGCTCCTGGTATCAGAGGACCAGGGGCCCAGCCCACCTAGTGCCTGCGGCCTAGGGGCGCCCTCGAAGTCCTCCATGCTGAAACTCAGCGGCTCCGTGGATGCACTGGCCTTCGCATCCTCCTTGCGCGTCGCACGAGGAAACCACGTGACGGAGCTCTGAGTTGTACAGTTTTTGGGCCTCCGGGGCCGCTGGAGCTGCACCTGATGCATCTGGGAGAGCTACTGCTGGCTGGTACCTGCGACGATGTCTCCGACCGATGGCAGGAGTGCAACAAAAAGTCGCAGAATGCCGTCAACGAGTCAACCAGAAGGGCACTTCTCCGGCAGCAAATACATCGGAGTCTTGGCCCACACGGCCATGAGAGCATCCATGCGCGCCTGAGACGACGCTTTGACATCTTCTCCTTGCTCCAAGCGACAAAGAGCGACAAAGACCACTGCGATGTCTGAGAAGACAGCCCAAGGTGATTTTTGCCACCGCTCTGAAGCGAGCAGCACCATGTCCGTGCACAGCTCCACATACAGAGGCCAGGCCTCGGTGCGTGGTCGCTGTCACTGAGTGTTGCTGACTGTGACCTTTTCATCTCTTCAGACTTGGTGGCATGCGCAAGTGGCCGCATTCAATGCTGCCGGGGGCCCCTTGTAGAAAACAAGCAAGACGATCAAGTCACCAAATGGTCAGGCAACACTCGCGGCCTTGGCGATAGCCCCGGGGATCAGGAAGAATACCGGTCTGGGAGACAGACGCCTTGAGCTCCATTGGCACAACCATCAGACCTTCTGAGTGAGCCCGCTGCCCTGAGGCACCAGCTTGATGAGCCAACTTCCGAACTTTCCTGTTGCGACGACTCCCCATCATACTGTGCTGTCACCTAGCCCTGGAGGAGTACCGTGCCTAGTCGCAGCAGCTCGTCGTGGCGCATGTCAGCCTTGTCAGTTACTTGGCAGCAGCTCGACAGGTCTCTGGCAAGCTCCATAGCAAGTTTTGCTGGGATCTACTTCGGCTGCCCGCTTTCTGGTGCACGCCCTCGCAGCGCAGCCCCAGAAATCAGCAAGTGCAGCAGACCGTCTTAAATGTGATGGATATGTGGACCAACACTGCTGGATGTGTCGCTCCCCTCAGGGGATGCCAGCTAAAACGAAACAAGACAGCACAAAGCTTCAAAAAGCACTTCGAGCTTCAACGAGCTTCAGTGAAGACCGAGCTGTGTGAGCAACGCCAGGACGCTGCCTGCAAGGCTGATAGGCCAGCACGCTGCCACTCATACAGCGTGCCTACAGCATCCGACTCTCGAACCTGCAAAGATGCCCAGGATAAGGCCCAGCTCCATGATAACACCAGCCCTATGCTGCTCGGCGGGGTGTGTCACCTGAACTTCCGAGCTCAAGACAGTCAGGAGGACGCAAGGCACGGGCCAAGTTTAGCGAAGATTCCTGCTGCGGCCCATACATCATCGAGAGAGTGCTACACCAGCCATTGGTCAAAGCAAACAGCGCCATGACTGCAAAGGCCAACAGATCCTGGCCAGTGATCTCACTACCCACAAAATCTGCAACGAGAGTGCTCACCACTGCTGACTAGTGAGTACCGACGCCTGCCAGGGAGCTGCGATTGAGTTCGGTTTTCGCTGCAACAGCATAAAGGCCTCGGTGCAAAACAAGGCTGCAACCTGTCCGTGTAGCTAATCCGTTCAGCACAGTAGGAAAACACCCGCTCCCATTCCTGACGTACATGCTTGGTGCAAGCAAACCTCTACCTGGACGAACATGGCCGTAGGTGCGACGCCAAGGCACTGGAATGAAGGCCAAGCGAAGCCACACTGGAATGCCGAGCGTCTTCGGGGAGACGCCGACCTTCTCAAAGGCCTGCCAAGCAGGAAGGCTCCGCAGACATGACTTGTAACTTGCCAGCAACTTTTCGCTCCTGCCTTGAACGTCGTCCGTCCAACCACATCAAATATCTGAAATATTCCAACCACAAGGGTTGTATACCAGTCCTTGCCCAAGGTACCTCAGCTGGAGCACACGTTTACATGCAACAAGTTGGCACCCGAACAAACCAATCGGCCGTCAAAATGCCTTTGCTGACGAAAATTTCCAGCTGTGGAGACCAGTTTGCCGCCACACCGGGGAACACCACAAAGGTCACCACCTCAGAATCACTAGTTACCGTTAAGGATACCAAGCAACCAACAGTCCCGAAATCCCGAGCAGTGTTGCACACAAGCTTGGCGGACTTAACACAAAAGCAACCGAAGTCACGAAAACCATCGACACATTCACGAGCTGAGGGATCACATCCTGCAAAAAGACTTGGTTGGGACAGAAGAAGTGCGCTTCTGGTCCTACTCTCATCTCCAGCCTTGAGGACGGGGCCAAATGAGCGCTCTCCGGAGATAAGTTGCCGAGCGGGGTCTGACGGCTCCGAGTTGGTGTAAGAGCCTCGGCACCAAGCCGCCGTCACATGCGAACGACACACCAGGACTTGTCTTTGCCGGCGGGCAGAAGCTTACCACTTCCACCATCGTGGCAGGCGGCCGTCTGTTCTCCTGACCGGTCGGGCTCGGAAGACTCTGATGGTAATCGTCCGTTTCAATTTCATGTTCAGGCAGCGCAAGGCAAGTCCTGGTGGGGGATGGGCACATAGCGCACGAGGTACGCCCCAAGGGCTTGCAATGCAGCACAGGTGCCAAAGAAGCAGAACACGACCTGTCCACCACATCAGCAGCTCTATCACACAGGACTGATGAAGACCGTCTGCATGGCAACTCTGCGGGGCTTTCGTCTTAAACAGTTTCCAAGCATCTCACGGCTGTTGTGCCTGGGACCAGTCCAACTTCAGCAACAGATCGTGAGTCCTGCATGCCTGACCCGCCTTCCTCCAGTAGGCTTAGGAGGCAGTTGTGCCTGTAGGTTCCTGTTTCGCAAGATCAATCTAATGTCGTCGATGTCAGAAGCAGCGTTCAGTCATCGAAATGGTTCAATACATGAGCGTTGATCAATACTCCTGTATCTGGAAATGGTTTCTTCGCAGATTATTGTTTTCCTTTCGCAGGACTTTCGCCCTCACTTTCGCGCGACACGTTTGAAGGAGTAGTACAATTGGTAGTTGTAGTAGTAGTAGTAGTCGTCGTCGTCGTCGTCGTAGTAGTAGTAGTAGTAATAATAATAATAATAATAGTAATAATAATAATAGCAGTTGTTGTTGTTGTAGTGGTAGTAGTAGCAGTAGCAATAGCAATAGCAGTAGCAGTAGCAGTAGCAGTAGCAGTAGCAGTAGCAGTAGCAGTAGCAGTAGCACTAGCACTATCACTAGCACTAGCACTAGCACTA